GCCCACCACAACGCCTGGCTATTTTTTGGTTGCAGCCGTCGTTGTTTGGCGGGCCAGGGCTGTATTCAAACCCGCCACCTTGGGTGTACGTGGCTGGTGCCCTAGCCACTTGAGCCACAGGCGCTGAGCCAGCTCATTCTCTAAATACTATTCTTTTGATCACACAGAGAAGGAAACTGGGGCCCAGATTTGAAGTCAGCTGCCCAGAGTCAAGCAGTTGAGGAGAGGGTAGAGTATGATTCAAACCCCAGCTCCAGACCTGTCCCTTAGTCTTTATGCCATGGTTTCTCCATTCATGCTTCTGCCAGAAACCAAGCTGAGACAACTTTACAACTTTCCAGATTGAGGAGAGGGGCAACGACACATTTGGATGAACTCCGTTATCTCCTGGCTCAGTTAATGAGATCATGATGGAAGGGGAAGGAAAGGAGGAAAGTGGTCAGTGGGTGGAGCACCTTACCCAGAGGCTGCTGGGATGGCTTGAGTCATTTTAATATTTACTTTCCTGGGGCTGTGGCTTAGATGAGAATCTCCTGTCAATCATGTCAGCCCTGACCACAGAGGCCACCAGACCTGACACCCTCTGAAATTGTCCTAATTTTGTGTCACTTTTTTTTTGTTGTCATTAAAAGGGGAAGCTTATGAGATAGATCACTAAATAAAATGTAAAGTTTAACCTTTGCAAGTCTTCTAAAAACATCAATTAGTTCATTAGACCTTGTGTCTCACTCAGTTTCTGTTTGGGATAACTAGGTCACTAAACTTCTGGCAGTCCTAGCAAAAGGAATAGCTAGAGAGTTGAGGAAGCTCTAAGGAGTTTAAACCAAGAACCCCCTGGACAGAACCTTTCCTACCCATAAGACATGTTTATGTGAGTTAGAAAAAGATGAAAAAGATGCCCCTTCATCAATATACTTTTTTGGGGGGCAGTGCCTGTGGCTCAAAGGAGTAGGGCACCGGCCCCATATGCTGGAGGTGGCGGGTTCAAACTCAGCCCTGGCCAAAAACTGTAAAAAAAAAAAAAAAAAAAAATATATATATATATATATATATATATATACACACACACACACACACATATACACACACACATATATTTTTTTTTTTTAGAGGCAGACTCTCACTTTGTCACCCTCAATAGCGTCACAGCAACCTCCAGCTCTTGGGCTTAGGTGATTCTCTTGCCTCAGCCTCCCAAGTAGCTGGAACTACAGGTGCCTGCCACAACGCCTGGCTATTTTTTTGTTGCAGTTTGGCTGGGGCCTAGTTTGAACCCGCCACCCTTGGTATATGGGGCTAGCCCCTACTCACTGAACCACAAGCACTGCCTACTTTATTTATTTATTTTGAGAAAGAGTCTCAAGCTGTTACCCTGGGTAGAATGCCATGATGTCATAGCTCACAGCAACCTCCAACTCTTGAGCTCAAGCCATTCTCTTGCCTCAGTTTTCTCTATTTTTAGTAGAGACAGGGTCTCGCTTTTGCTCACAGTGGTCTTAAACTTGTGAGCTCAAGCAATCCACCGCCTTGACCTTCCAGAGTGCTGGGATTACAGGCATGAGCCACTGTGCCCAGCCTCAATCTACTTTTGATAGACAATTATCATCAGAAATATATAATGGGCCAGTTTCAATTTGGCCCTGAATCATTTAAAAGAATTCTCTTACCAACATCTGGTCGATAAATTCCTTCAAGACTGTGGCTACATTTTTGGTCTTACTAGCGGCGTTTGTGTATATTAGAGTTGTAGCTCCTCGATTCCAATCAACAACGACCACATTCATGTCTTCAACAAAGAGCAAACCCTCCACTAAGTCCCCTATCCAAACTGGAGGGGAGCCTGTTGGCCTAAATCCATGGACAATGAAGGTGGTTTTCTTGGTGACATTCAAGTTTCCAAAAGCTGTGGCGTTGATGACTTGTGCACAGGTCAGGTTTTTTCTTGTGTACAACATCAGCTTCACATTTAGTCCCGTGCCAACCACTGCACTGTGGAAACTCAGTCTGGTGAATGAAGGACATGTTTCATCTGTGTCTAAAAATAAAAATTAGATGACATCAAGAAAATTCTCTCCTTGTTGAATGTCAAACAAAAGTACTGTCCTACATTTGCCGGAATTCTTTGTATGCTTCTTTACTTTTTTTACTTCTTTTATTTTTCGAGACAGAGTCTCACACTGTTGCCCTAGGCTAGAGTGCAGTGGCATCATAGCTCACAGCAACCTCAAACCCCTGGGTTCAAGCAATCCATTTGCCTCAGCCTCCCGAGTAGCTGGGACTACAGGCACCCACCACCAAGGCCAGATAGTTTTTTCCTATGTTTAGTAGAGACAGAGTCTTGGTCTTGCTCAGGCTGGTCTCCAACTCCTGAGCTCAAAGCAATCCACCTGCCTTGTCCTCCCATAGTGCTAGGAGTTATAGGTGTGAAGCACCTTCCCAGCCTCTGGTAAGGGCCTGGATCTAGTTGAATGAAGTTGCAAAGTCATACATGGCTCAGAGCTCTAGTTTCACCAGGAAACCTATCCTTCCAAATCCTACACTCTTTCAAGGTGTGATCTACAAATACCCTCAATGAAGCCTTTTCCAACTTTTCCAGTCATAAGCACTGTCCTTTACCCCAGGGCTCCCAAAACTCCTTTATGTACCTTGTTGACAGCACAATGAAAACACATTTTCAGGGGTATATTGTGGGTAATTATGTATATGTGTATATCCTAATAGACCACAATCTCCTTAAAATGATGTCTCAAAACCTGTGTATAAGCTGGGTGCAGTGGCTCATGCCTGTAATCCTAGCACTCTGGGAGACTGAGGCAGGAGAATTGCTTGAGCTTAAGAGTTCAGCACCTGTGGCTCAGTGGGTAGGGCACCGGCCCCATATACTGAGGGCAGCGGGTTCAAACTGAGCCCCAGCCAAACTGTAACAAAAAAATAGCCAGGCATTGTGGCGGGCACCTGTAGTCCTAGCTACTCAGGAGGCTGAGGCAAGAGAATCGCCTAAGCCCAAGAGCTGGAGGTTACTGTGAGCTGTGATGCCATAGCTCTCTACCGAGCATGACAAAGTGAGACTCTGTCTCTAAAAAAAAAGAGTTCAAGGGCAGCCTGAACAAGAGACCCCATCTCTACTAAAAATAGAAAAACCAGCTGGGTGTTATGGCAGGCACCTATAGTCCCAGTTACTCGGGAGGATGAAGCAAGAGGATTGCTTGAATCCAAGAGTTTGAGGTTTGTTGTGAGGTCAAAGCACTCTACCCAGGGCAACAGAGTGAGACTCTCAAACAAACAAACCAACAAACAAACCTATGTATGCTTCACAGTACCCAGCACATGGTAGTGGACTTAACAACTGATCTCGAACAATGAATAATTGTTTTTCCAGCTCCAAGCTGGAAAGGATCCCTTAGGATATTCAGGAGGAGGCAGGGTGCTCCAGATGGCCATTCTTTGGGGAGTGAACAGGAGGAAAAGACTGTTGACTTGCAGTGGATGAACAGAAGACAAGGGTGCCCTGGGAAACATCTGTTCTGACTTCCTTCAATAGAAATTTAGGAAGCATTTGCTCTTGGACCCCTATTCTCAATGAATCTTCATTTGAACATCCAGGAATTTTTTTGTCCTTCATTCTGAGCCTTTATCCCAGGGTCCCCACCCATCTTTAATATCTTATTGCCAGACTGAGTAGCCCGTCCACCTGTCAGCCAGGCCAATCAACAGAGTAGCAAATAAGACATCGACAATTCGGCTAGGCGCCTATAGCTCAACCGGCTAAGGCGCCAGCCACGTACACCTAAGGTGGCGGGTTCGAATCCCCAGCCCGGACCCGCCAAACAACAATGACGGCTGCAACCAAAAAATAGCCGGGCGCTGTGGCGGGCACCTGTGGTCCCAGCTACTTGGGAGGCGGAGGCAGGAGACTCGCTTGAGCCCAGGAGTTGGAGGTTGCTGTGAGCTGTAATGCCACGGCACTCTACCCAGGGGGGACAGCTTGAGGCTCTGTCTCAAAAAAAAAAAAAAAAAAGACATCGACAATTCCATTTTTATTTGTAGAAAAGTCAGTAATTCTGCAGAACAGTGAGGATATCTCCTCAAAGAGCTGTTCTGCTCTATTTCCCTGTGTTACTTTTATATTCTCATAGTAAAAACAAGGATCAGCCATGTTGTTACTCATCATAGTATACATTAAACAGATTCTTATTCATAGGTTATAAGGTTACACAATATCCCGTTATCTTAAAGTGGTTATATCTTCAAAGCACTCCTACTCCAGACTAAATGTACAATTAGTCACTACTTTACTAAGAGCTCTTTGGGCACTGGGTCCTGGACTGGCATCCTGGTCATTGACGTATCCAGTTCTCTAACTTTATCTGTGACAGAAGGCCTTGTACACAAATAAACAACTCCAGATGGCGGCACACAGGCTTACCCAGCCCTGCCAAGGCCTGTCTAGCAGTGCCTTAAACGTAAAGGTTATTTAGGACAACAGTGGGTGCCATCAATCTGGGTCCACTCATATATGCATGTATTCGAAGCTTCTTACAAAGGCTCTCATACTCAAGAGTGAGTGAAGTTCCAAAATAAAATGAGCAAAAGAAACCCAAACAGAAGGTTAAAAGTTAGAGACTCTGAAGTCTCTCATCTTAGAAAAGAGGCACTTAGTAATGAGCCCCCAAGTCACACATTTCTCCTTTTCCTCTATCAAGCAGCATGTGCAGTGAGGCGTGTTCACAAGGTAAACATTTTCTCCATCTGTTGGCCTCTTTCACTTCCTCTTTCTGTAGGTTGCATCCTCCTGGGAACTCAGACTTATCTGGTTGCTTGTAGAGCAACTCCCAGGGCAAATAATTGACTGTTTCATTAGTCATTTTATTGAGCAGGAGGCGTCATACGGTAGGGCTGAGCCTCTCGGTCTCAGCTGATACTACACTTGGGTTTTGTTCCTGGTTGTGCCACTGACTCACCAGATGGCCTGGGGAAATTATGCCACCTTTTGCTTGCCACTTATCTGCCCAAGAGAGGAATGCTGTGGGGATTAATTCTGAATGAGGGCCAGGTGTCCCATGGTGGCTCACGCCTATAACCATAGCACTCCGGGAGGCCGAGGTGTATTGCCTGAGCTCAGGAGTTTGAAGCCAGCCTGAGCAAGAGCAAGCCCCCATCTCTACAAAAAATAAAAAAACTAGCCGGGCATTGTGGTGGGAGCCTGTAGTCCCAGCTACTTGGGAGGCTGAGACAAGAGAATCACTTGAGCATAAGAGTTTGAGATTACTGTGAGCTGTGATGTCATATCACTCTACCAAGGGTGATGGAGTGAGTTTGTCTCAAAATAAATAAATAAGTAAATATTAAAGTCTGTATGTATTAATGTATCAATCACAGAGTATTTCTACTCTGTTTAGTAAATCTGTTCTATGTGCTCCTTCTCTGCCAAACGAGAACATCAATATACCTGTAATCGTCCCCCGAATCCTCTCTGAACCCTCCTTCACAACATACACATGCACTCACACAGACATACACATTTTTCCCCATTGCCAAAGTACAGTCGCTCCCCATTATTTTTGACTTCCATCTTTGTGAATTTATTTGTAACTCCAAAATCAGTATTTGAGGTGCTTTTCTGGAGTGGTAAAAAATTTGAGGCTCGGTGCCTATAGCTCAACCAGCTAAGGTGCCAGCCACGTACATCTAAGGTGGCGGGTTCGAATCCCCAGCCCGGACCCGCCAAACAACAATGATGGCTGCAACCAAAAAATGGCCAGGCGTTGTGGTGGGCGCCTGTAGTCCCAGCTACTTGGGAGGCGGAGGCAGGAGACTCGCTTGAGCCCAGGAGTTGGAGGTTGCTGTGAGCTGTAATGCCACGGCACTCTACCCAGGGGGGACAGCTTGAGGCTCTGTCTCAAAAAAAAAAAAAAAAAAAAAAAAAAAAATTTGAGTCACCTGACACCCTCTCAGCTGAGATCAACCAAAGCAATACTCTGCCTTCTTGTTTGTTTCAGCTCTGATTCTCTAAAAAAAAGGTCCTTGTCCTTTTCACAGTCACTTAGTGATGGTCGTTTAGGGCCATACTTTTTGCTTCCTATGCTTTTTTCTTGATTCTTTCTTTTTTTTTTTTTATTGAATGGTAACTATGTACATTAATGCACTTCTGGGGTACAGTGTGGGGTTTTCACATGCAATCTGAAATACTTCCATCAAACTGGTCAACACAGCCTTCATGTCATTTTCTCAGTTATTGCTTTAAAACATTCACATTCTACTCTTAGAAAGATTCACCTGTACCCCTTTTCTTGATTATTTCACTGCTTCATACAGTGCGGTGCCAAGAACAATGTTGACCTCTGTCCAGTGTTTCTAAACATAGAAAGGCCACAGTGTGCCTTACGGAGAAAATGCATGTGTTCGGTAAGCTTTGTTCAGGCACGAGTCATCGTGCTGTTGGCCATCAGTCCACTGTTAAGGAACCCACAGTTTATATTAAATTAGGTATCTCTAAACAAAAACACACAGGAGATTACATAATGATGGTTGACAAAAACATTGTAACCAGAGGCTTACGGAAACCTATATTTGTATTTCCCTTAGGAGCAATGGTTAAATTTCTGGGTTACGAACAAGGTAGGTTGTATAGGTTTATTCTTTAGTTGAATTTGTATGTAAGCTGGAACAGGTACATTTGTAAGCGTGAGATGCGCATCATTCAGTGGGATGTTTGTAACTCAGGGACTGCCTGTATTTGCTAATTCATTGTTTGAGGCCACACTATAGGGCATAATTGCTGCGAATAATGAGAATAAGCTGCATATAAAAATCACCTTTGGAATCATATTTACCCAGTTACATAGTTTTAGGTCTATAAAGTACATGCTCATTGCTCATAACTATGAGTTCTTTTCTTCCTAATCTTCTCTCTTCACCCCTAGGTGACCGGCTCTTGCTGTCTTTTCAAGAGGACTCGCTAATATAATTCCCAAGTTCATTCATATCTGGAAGAGAAATCCTTAGGCTAAAGGATGCCTGGCTTTGGACAATATT